AATAATAAACTGAATAACGATGGTCTAATCTGATAAATAAATATAAATGCACAAATTAGCACAGAGATGTAGCATTTGAATTTACTATGTAAATTTATTGGAAAAATGTTTTCTTCACTTTAAAAAATTTCGTAATTTGGACCATTTAGTTTTTGGATCAGAAAGTCATAACGCTTTTGTCATAATAATAATCATAGCACTGGTTTTAAAGTTAGAATAGAGTAGTTTCAAAGATTGACAAATCTCTCATAAACCTTCATTCCGATTTTCATGAGTCAAAAATTCTATGACTTTTGATTAACCATATTGTTCAAATTATTAATAAAGTAATCATTAGGTGTTAGGGATAGAATTAAAGCTGATGCAATTAAAATTACAATATGGCTAATGATACAAAATTTAATGATAATTGGTGAAAGTGCAAAGGTGTAAAACTCATAAACATTAGAAAAATAGGTCACTGGCTAATTTGAGGAATTGGTTATGTGTGGCAAGTAAAATCTCACTCTGGGCACTTACAACCCACACAACGTCCCCTCCTTCCTGGTTTGATCATTCCAACAAGTAAGAGTTAAGGAATTAAATCAAATAGTTATAATACAGTGGTGATTTACTAAGACTCACATCAGCTGTTATGGGGATGCTCCTTTTAATACAAAATCAGTATAAATAGAAAATATTTTCTTTTTTAAATGATTTTATTTTAATAAAACAAGTTTATGCACAAATTATGATTAATTACTAATTATACACCACTGATATTAAAGTCTGAACTTGTTATTTGATTATCAATTTGAAAAGAATCTATTATGCAGATAAAATTAAACTATCATAGAACATAAAGAAAAAAAAATTGGTAATACCATTGTAGCTAAAAACTGATAACATTATCTGGACAAACAAAAACTTAGTACATAAATATAATGAAATTAATATATTCTTAATGTGCTAACAAGTTTTTAAAAATTAATTTGATGATATAACAGAATTTTTTTTTCAATTTAAAAATTACCAAATAAACCATTTATATAAAGCAGAAATATTGTTTCAAAAATCAACTATAGAAGCAATTATTACAATATGCTTTCACCCTAGTCAGTTATTTGTAAGTTGGTTCTTAGCCCAACCCTTTGTAATGAGTCTATTATTAATTTGTCAATCCTACAATAGATTATTAGTGTAGCTCGATTTTGTATTTTTATACTTCAGTGGATGTTTAACGCTTCAGATTAACTTGTCATAAAAAAAATAAAATAAAATAAATTGGAATTTCTTAACCAAAATGCTCCTTTGTACTCCACCTCTATTTAATAAATTTGTATTAAAACCTGATTGTCCTACTGTATAGAGTAAAGAACATAAGTTGTGAAGATGAGAAGGTACAATCTGAAATGTCATTACTAAATGAATAGTTAATAAAAAAAAAAAATTGGAAGCCTATTTTTCTATCTCTATCAAAAAATCAAGAAGTTAAATTATGCATCTAGTAAAAATAATTTGATATCATAATGTAACCAACAGTACAGACTTTATATCATAAGTAATTACATTGAAACTACAAAGTAAACAGAAAATAATAACTTATTCTAAGGAACTTTTTTGTAATAAAGTTCCAGATTTATGGTCAAAGTTTAATTTGTATGTATTTAAGTTCTTTAAAACGTTCCGTTAAATGAAAAATAAACAGCAATTGGGCTTAGACACATGATTTTAATTTTTTTTGTAACTATGAATAAAAGTAATTTTTTTTAGCTTAATCTACAGAACTTTTAAATACAAGTTTTTTTTTTAAATAAACGTTCTGCAAAACCTTAACTTAGGAAGTTGCAAGGGGAAAAGTTCTAATTCTGAAAGAAATGAAAAACTATTGTCAATAAAAATTTTGATGATGCTGAAACTTTTTAAAAATAAAACATTTGTTTCCGCTTCAATTCCTGGAATCATACTTACTTATTTACTGCTGGGTGCTACGGTCTTACAAGAACCTGGGCCTCCTCAAGGACTCCAAACCAGTCACTCCTGTCTCTCACTCGCGTTCTCCATCTTCTTACTCTCAGCAACTTGAGGTCCTCATCAATGTCATCCAACCATCACATTCTTGGCCTTCCTCTGTTATCACTTCTCTCCAATTTTCCATATAGCAAATGTCGTAGAATTCTATTCTCTGCCATCCTTTCCACGTGTCCAAGCCATCTCAGGCGGGCTTTTTTCACAATAACAGGTCTGGTTTGCCAAACATTGCACGGAGCTCATAATTGTTTCTTAACCGTCACGTGTCATTTTCTGTTATTGGCCCATATATCCTCCGGAGTATTTTTCTTTCCCAGACATTGAGTTTCCTTTTACTTTCACTGGTCAATACCCAGGATTCACTGTCATACGTAACTATGGGTCTCAGTATGGTTTCATAAATCGTAATTTTTGCTTTTTCGGAAAGAGCTTTTAATGTTAACTTTAACTTAAACTTTAATGTTATTTGTATGGTATAAAGGCACTTGTTACCTGCAACCAACTTGGCATTCACTTCTTTCATGCTGTTGTCATGTGCAATGACTGCACCCAGGTACTTAAACATACTTATACTTTTAAAACTATGATCGCCAATCTGCAGATCATGATATTCCAGTTGTTGGTGCCTGGAAGTTTTTAAATATTTTGTTTTTTCTTCATTTACATGAAGGCCCACTTCTGCTGCTTCCCTTTCAAACTCCTCAAAAGCTCCTTCTTGCGCTGCAGTGTTTCTTGCCATTATGAGCATATCATCTGCATACACCAAGTGCTGTGTGAGCCGATCATAAATTGTTCCACTAGGGTGCCTTTATGCCCTAATAGCTTTTTCCATGGCTAAATTGAAAAAGTCAGGTGATAGTGGGTCTCCCTGTCTCAGGCCACTATTTATTGCAAATTCTTCTGATAGCATTTCCTGTATTTTTATCATCATCATGCATTGTCATTTTTGCTAGCCTAGTGAGCTTACTGGAAATTCCCAATTCAAGCATTATCTTTAGTAATTCTTCTCTATCAATACTGTCGTATGCCTGCTTAAAATCGATAAATAAACTATATAGGTCAACATGAAATTCATATCCCCTTTCAAGAATTTGTCTAACTGAGAATATTTGATCGATGGTTGATCTTCCAGGCCTGAAACCACTCTTAGTTGCCCACTATCTGTTTGGAAAACTTTATCAGCCGTCGGTTCAATAATACAGAGAATACCTTGTAGGCTGTATTCAGTAGTGCTATCCCTCGTTCTAGCATTACTGAATAATTCTAGTTCAGAACAATGATGCCCCAGATGTGGGTAAAACCACGTCAGTCACACCAGAGCCTTAGAATTGGTGCTGGTGAGGATGTAACCAAGACTCGCATAAAAACTGGGAGTCCCCCTTAATCCGTAATATAGACTACGTATTTTAGCCTTAATACTTATTTATAATATTAGGTGTACATAAACATATATATAGTACATAGACACATACATAAATATAAATTTTACTGTTGGCCACGACAAACTTTATAAAACTTTCTTGTGTTATTTGATCTGATCATTCTGGAACTCTTCTTACTGCATATTTAGCCACACTCTTATTTTCTTACGGAAGATTTTCTTGGTATTCCTCCTCTTGGCAGAGTACTCATTTTGGCTTGCTGTAGTCACTCTTTGCAGCATTTTTATTCACGCCTCTTTCTTTGCTGTCAGGGCTTGATGGCATTCCACGTCAAACCAACCACACTTATTCTCTTTATTTCTTTAAGATAATGGGTACGCATTTTAAGCTCAAGGAAATCCACAAAGAAACCAGGATAGCAGCAAATGGTAACACTAAGAACCGAATAGACCACATATTGGTACACAAAACACACATCTTAAAAACACAAAAGACACTAGCATTAAAGATGTAGGTAGTTATAGAGGTGTCACAGTCAGTGACAGTCACAGTCATACATCTTTAATGCTAGATGTGTCTTTTGTGTACCAATATGTGGTCTATTCGGTTCTTAGTGTTACCATTTGCTGATATCCTGGTTTCTTTGTGGATTTCCTTGAGCTTAAAATGCGTACCCATTATCTTGAAGCCATTTTCTGTAGGAAAGTCTATTAATCTTAGTCCATTGTCATTGGAATCCTGGTGCTTGGTTTGTATACCAATGGTTGGTTTAAAAACTTCTTATTTGGTCACTTGCTCAAATTGCTCAGAATGATTTTTAAGTCAAATCCGGTCATGACACACATTCATACATCGAACTGATATAATGATCCAAGTGAAGGTATGAAAGAATTACACAGTACATTTTACACATGACAACTGACTGATCCAACCAGCCCATAGACTTTTATACAAACTCTAAATCAAATAATTAAGTTATAAAAAATTAGTTTTTATTACAGCTGACATGGAAAAGAAGAGACAAAGAATATTAAAAATATTCTAAGAGAAAAATGATGAATCAATTTATATGATGTAATTGATAAATAACATATAGAACATTAAAAAAGATAAGAATGTAACAAAAATTGAGGTTTCTCATTTGTAAAATTAATGATTTATTAATATTTGAGATTAAAATTAATTATAAAGTGGATTATTGTAATAACAGAGTATTATCGTAAAATATGTGTTAAGTTGATGGAGTTTGTAATATAGTTTAATTGTCTAAATCATGAAGATGGAGCACGAAACCTTGACCATGAAATGAGGAAGGTACGAAATAAGGGTTATATCTCAGAAAAAAAAAATTATAATAAAATACTAAAGTTATGTTATTATCTGTTGGATAACACATAAACGATATCCATTTCATTAGATTTTTTTTTTTAATGTCTGATTTTAAAATCAAATTACCTAAAATATAATGATCAGCTCTTTAAAAAAAGTATAACAAGTAATAAGTGCCACAACAAAAACAAAGAAAATGGGTATTAATAAACAACAGAAATAAAACAAAAATATATAATTAAAAAACCTATTTACAATTTGTAATATTATAATTTACAATTAATACAATTGTATAGTTTCTATTGTGTAATTGTGGGAAGAAGTTAATGGAATTTTAAATTTAGCTTTTACTTTCTTCATATTAACCATTTCCCAGTTCAATAATTTCAATGTTTCCATGTATTCCATCTAAAACAAATAATAATAAAAAAAAAAATGAATGAACATTATATGCAAAAAATAGAAAAATTGTCTATAAATGAACCTGGAAAAGAAATGACACTGAAAGGAAACAATTTATTCATATTGTCACCACCATTTTAAAGTAACGAATGTGAGCCTGTTTAATGTTGCACATTCGTTACTTTAACATAATGCCGATGATATCACAAAATGATATATTTTTAAAAATAAATCATCATGATACAGTATTTCCTCAATATTAATTTAATGAAAGAAATATGCAGCAGTTTTACTGTTTATGCTTAATTAAAAATAATACATGTTAATCAAAAGGTGATAAATATTCAGGATGCAGTCTTTTTTTAAAAAAAATTTAATTTTCATTTATGCCCACGTTTCAATCCAAACATGTGGGTCATCTTCAGGGTGTGGTTTGAGCACTGAGGGTGTTCAAGTACTGAACTTGAGAGTACTTGAACACCCTCAGTGCTCAAACCACGCCCTGAAGATGACCCACATGTTTGGATTGAAACGTGGGCATAAATAAAAACTTTTTTTTTTAAAAAAGACAGCTTCCTGAATATTTATCACCCATGAAATGTAGAACAGTTGACTAACTTCCTTCAATGTTCATCAAAACGTTTAATTTGATTAATTTTATTGTTTTACTTATTAAATTTAAATACAATGTACCATGATACTTATCACTTAATATAATATACTGCTTATATCTGCACCATTGAAGATTTTATTCTCAAAACATATTTTGTGTCAAAACACCATCATTCCATTGTTGTATTAAAACAATACAAAATAATAAAATCCTTTACATTAAATTACTGGGTATAGAATAACAAATAAAAACTATAGTAATGTATAAGCAATAAATAAAGTTAATATTAAAAATAATAATTTTCATACCTGAGATAATACAATTTCTTGTAATTTTTTTATAGTTTCATTCACATCTGCATCTCTAGATAGAAGATACTGCTGATAGTGGGAATCTAACAATAGACAAGCCCATTCAATAAAAATTCTATCACAAGGAGAATCTGACATCTTATCTGTTAACATAGAAAAATTTATCAACATATTATTCGATTTCATTTAATTAATATAATCTACATTGTTCAAAAGTGGTACCCCATTAGTTGATCTAAGCAGATCACAAACTTGAGTAGAAATTTATGCATAACTTTAAAAAAAAATAATTTACTATCGTTTCATTAAATAAATTGCTAATTGTGAAAAAAAATAGACAGTGGGTAAATCCTAAGATCAATTGTTAGACTGAAAATATCCTGGTTATGTCATTCCCTAAGCAAAGACAATATGAAAAACAGCCAACTAATTCTGTATGTTGGAATTACAAAGACAATTTATTATCAGTTAATTTCTAAAAGTCAACCATTGATTCATAACTTTACAGTGATCAATTACAAAGAATATTTAGACTAATCTGACTCCTGATTTGGAACCTTCCGACAACATTTGTTTCAGTTAATGGCTCAGTATTTTAAGGAAAAATTCTCATTTCTCTGAAGGAGGCTCAAAATGGAATAGAAGACTTTTTTTCCAGAATTTGATAGTTAGGTTTGAGATGGCAACAAACCATAGAACACAACAGTAGGGGGCAGGATGACGGAGAGGGCTAATGTGTGTGCACAGCACCAGGCGTAGTCCGGCAACATATATCAAAGATAATTAGATAAAATAACAATGAGTTCACGTCCTTGTAGAAAAAAAAATAAGAAATAAACAAAAAGAACATTATGTAATTTGACTGTAAACGAAATTTAATTAATATAAAATTAGCAAAAAAAAACAATATTTTGTTAATTAAAATTTCTAATATATTTTATATCTCCTCCACAACCTTACCCGTATATGTCAAATTTGAAAACAATAATAATTTACATAATTACTAAATATAGTAATAATAAAAATATTGTTTAAATTTTTAATTTTATATCATGCAAATGTTGATAAATATTTAAATATTACTGATGTTTAAATATAAACATTTTGGAGATAGTTTGTTCCTCCTCTTCTGGCATATAATATGCCCCAGTATTCTACAATTAGTCTAACTTCCGTCAATGACTGACCCAAGTTAGACTTATCTATAAATATTTGGGTATATTATATGCTGAAAAGGAATAAAAAATAACCTCAAAACATTCAAATAATAATTACTAAAATTGTTTTTTAAAGTTAAACCAGTGGCAAACGTTATGGAGGCATAATATATAATAAGGAATAAAATAAAATACAATGAAGAAATGCCAGGAACATAAACTAATAAAATCTCCATTCTAGGAAAAAAATTATATTATGTTTTGATACAAACAATATTTATTCGTACCATGTATTATAAATCTTACTGAAGAGTACTCCCACAAATATTTTCAGTTTTATAATTAAAGTAATATGTAATTTTTTTTAGTTTTACCTGCTAAAATTTCAAGTAGTGTAAGTGCCATTTGAAGAGGAATGTGTGTCCTCACTAGAGAAAGGCTGTTGTCATCGCCAACTAAAGGCCGCGATAAGACAACTTCCTTTATCCTATTGCAGTCATCAGTATTATTATTTAGAGCAAAAGCCAAGGATCGAACGAGATAGCGGTCTGGAACATCTTGACACTTTTCCAATAAATGTAGAATTCCTTTGGCATTTTTGGATTCAGCATAAGTATCGAACAGCAATTCACATATCCTTTACAAATAACAAAAGACATTACATAAAAACTTATAAGATAACTTAAAACAAAATATATAGTAGACTCTTAATAATCTAAATTCCAAGTGTCCAAGCAAAAACTTCAATTTATAAAAACTTATGGGATTAAGGCAGGTTGGAAAAAATCAAATTTTTAATACTTTAGTTTTACTAAAAATAGATTTTTTTTAGTTGTGATATTTAGCACATTCAATGAAATATGAATTTTACGATATGTATAGATATAATTAATTAATTTGTCACAAAGAATTTTGTATAGAATAGAGATTCCAAACTAATCTTTCATAGAAAGTTTTATAAAACAAAGATAATGACAAAAACATTTTTTGTCTACATCTTTTTAGATGAAGTATACCTTCTTCTACTACCACTTGAATTACTTTTTTACCAGAAATCGATATTGATTGATATAGATGGTTCAAACTTATTTTGCAACTGAATAGAAGAAACATACTGAAAACGGTAAGTAAACAATTCTTTAAAAAGTCATAACTTTAAGAACAAAAATAAACGTTGTTGACTTAGAAACGCGAAGATAGTGCTTGCATCAAGTCGGATTTTGAGAGTGGTATTTGGATAAATTGTATTACATTTTCTTCTGTAATTAAAGTTTAAAATTAAAACAATTTCAATGACTACATACCTTGATTCTGAAATGCCTTTGTCAACGAGATCATCTAAGTCTCCTTCCAATCTTGGTGCTTGACTACCAACTAAGCCAGAAAGTCGTGGGGTGTAGAGCTTGTAAGGAATGACAAGTAAATTGGCTCCTGAAGGAATAATGAGCTCCCTTGATCTAGCAAGAGATTTTGATGCACTATTATAAATTTTTAAATTTTCAGTAGCCTCCACTACACCATACTTGATTGAGAACATGACTAGTATCCCGCCTGAAATGTTGATAAAAAAAAAAAGTGCTGTTTGATGATATTACCAGGAAAAAATAATACAACTATTATATTAGTTAGAAATAATATAAATTACCTTCTGATTCTGACTGAGCCCCATATATAGCAACTTGTTCTCCGCTTATTGGAAAAAGTGTTGCTTGTAATTGTGTATTTATAACTGATATATTTCCAACGAATCTTCCAGCACTTCCCTTTTCTAGAGGCAATTCCAATGATGTCAAATCACCATTTGACCCTAAATAAATATTTAATCAAGGATACAAATAGCATGCCATCAATTATATCAAAAATACTCACTCCTTAAAGATACTGTTAATAAATAACTAATATTTTAGTAACTTTTTGACAGCTACAAAACTTTGAAACTAATATATATATTTAAATCTTGTAGTTAGGACTTCACTTTTTTTTTTTTCACGGAACGGCCATAGAGATCACGCGAATATCATGACATTTGGCTTCTTTCTTGTTTTTCCTTTCAGGACTTCACTTTATTATTAATAATAAAAATACTCAATATGAACACAAAAGTACTAATTTATTTTTTTTTCTAGGCCAAGGTTTCAGCTCTTATACCATTTTCAAGCAAAGAAACTTATTTTAAAAAACTATAATGATATAAAATGATGATTAGACACATAGACTAACTAAGTGATGTGGACAAGGGAAATTCAGCCCATTTCATTTTGGTTTTTAAAATAGATTTCTTCACTTGAAAAAGGTCTAAGGGGTGAACCGTTGAGGTACAAAAATGAATATAGTAGGATTTTTGTGATCAAATTGAGTGTTTTTATTCTAAACTAAGTTAGGATTGAAACTTATTAAACTTGAAAATAATTTTGTTAGCTTTCATTTTAAGAAAAATAATCATTTATGTTATTATGCATTTATTTTTGTAAAATAGCAGTATATTCCTATTAAGCTATATCCGCAAACACTTTGTTTAGGAGATATTCACACCTAAAGATTTTCATTGTTATGAATTATTAAGTTATATTATGTAAATAAAACTTATTTATTTGTTCCAATTACTTTATTAATTAAACATACAAATTAAATTCATATTAAATGTTGTTTAAAGTTCCTTGAGCATTAAAACAGGCTCGGCATCTTTCTTCAACAGCAGCAGTGGCAGAACTGCAATGGATATGTGTTATTGTTTCACAAGATTCAATTATCCTTCTTCATAAGGAATTAAGGTCATTGACCGGACTGGCATAGACTTTTTGTTTAATGTCACCCCAAACAAAAAAAATCCAGTGGCATCAGGTCTGGAGAGCGCACAGACCAAGCCATTGATTGGGATAATTAACATATAGCCATTGTCGTGGGCCTCTTCTGTGATGCACAGGACAGCCATCTAATTGAAGCCACATGTTCCTTCTCAGTTGTAGTGGAATATGTTCAACTAAATCATAGTAATCATTATTAAGAAATTCCAGAAATGTGCCCGCATTGAGTCGAGGCGACAAGAAATGCGGACCTATTAAAATATTGTCTATTATCTCCAACCACACATGAAACTGGTGCTGAAAATGATGCTCACGAATTGCATCGGGATTTTCCTGCAACCAGAGATGATTATTTTTCTGGTTGAAGATACCTCTTCTTGTTAAGGCAGATACTTCTTCATCTGTGCAGAGAATTTTTTTGAAAATTGTCGATTATTCTCAACTTGATTTAAGTACCAATCTGAAATATTTCTTCTTTGCCGAAAATCTTGTGGTAATAAATTTCGTACCCGTTGATAATGATATGGGTGAATTCTACCTGCAATGAGAGTTCTCCATACTGTAGTTGGCGTAATATTCATTTCTGCTCCAGCTTTTCGTACACTACCAGACGGATTATCATCAAAATATTGGGTACTTCTTCACTAGCAGACCAGGACTGACTGCTATTTGCCAATTTTTATAACCTGAACACTGATAATTCTGATAAGGCAGTGATAAGCCTTCTTGTAATTCTTTCTTCCAATTGTATTATATTCATATTATTGAAAGTGTAATAACAAAAAAAACTTTTATTTTACGACACATATGTTAATGAAACAATAAAAAAACACTAAAACAACCTATGTACATATAAAAGAAAAAATATCAACACTGTAAACGACATATGTGCACTTTATTTTCACTTTGTCTTATTTATGTTGGTAGGTAAAATAGTTTTATGCTATTTAATATAGCAAGGAACGGGTCCTCTTCTTTGTGAACCCGCTGCCACAAAAAAGCACATAAATATGAATCGAAGTGTTGTCTGGCAGTTCCTCTATGTATTTTATTTCTCCATTTCTCCACTTAGCTGAGCCCCATAATCGATCTATGTGTTGAGTATGAATCTCAGTTGATGGATCGGCAAAATTATACCGGTGATTCATTTGGAAATGGTCATAGTTTGCATCGTTCAGTTGTCGGGTGTTGTATCCTTTCCAACAATCCGAATAAATGGTCGTTCCCTCTTCTATATTGTGTTTAATTGCTTGTAATAAGGTAGTTGCCTTTCTGTCATTTATTTTGACGATAAATGACAATAAATATAATGAAAAATGAAAATAAATAGAAGGAAAAATAAACACAAACGGGCCAAAAATAAAGAGTTTAATAAGTGAACGTAATAAGGTAATAACTGAAAGGTTTGCCGGGATAAGAAGAGGGAGGTTATGTGAAGTTAGATAACATAGATAAGAAGTGAGGTTTCGACCCGCCTGCTACTGAAGTAGTACCAAATATTGTAATATGGTCGCACTCCTTTCTTCAATTCGTAAAGGCACAAAAATACCATCAGCACATGGTATTATAACAAATGTATCAGTTTCTCTAAGACGTTGAAACATGTAGCTAAAGATGGACTTGTTTGGTAATCTATTCGGAAATCGCCTGGCATATTCACGACTGTCAGCATTAGCATTAGCATTACAAAAACCGTATACAAACACCATATTGGCACATTCACCATTAGTATAAATGGAAGGCATAATGATGAGCACTCTGTTAAAGCTTCTTACAAACTGATAAATGTTATTGAGAGTTTCCAATGCTAATTCCAAATAGTATTAATCCTTATGAAGAGAAGAATAGTTGGGGTGCTCAGTCAAAAAAGGAAGGCAAAAATAAATTATAATATTTATTTTTTATTTTTTACAAATATTATAATTTATTTTTGCCTTCCTTTTTTGACTGAGCACCCCAACTATTCTTCTCTTCATTATCCACGACAGTCAACCAATTACCAATTATTATATAATTTTTTATAAATATTATAATTTATTTTTGCCTTCCTTTTTTGACTGAGCACCCCAACTATTCTTCTCTTCATTATCCACGACAGTCAACCAATTACCAATTCTTAATCCTTATGTTGCCAATAGTTTTTTATAGTTAAGGATATAAAAGGCCATATTAGTATTCTATCTAATCCATCTCCTAAACAAAGGGTTTGCAGATATACCTTCACTTTGAACATTTAATATGAATGTTAATGTTTACATTTAATTAATAAAGTAGTCCGAAAAAATAAATAGCTTTTATTTATTTCATATAACGTAAATAATTCATAACAACGAAAACCTTTAGGTGTGAATATCTCCTAAACAAAGCATTTGCAGACATACTTTCAGAGAATTTTTTTTCTTGTTTTGAAGTCCTTAGTTCAATTTTGCTGTTTGGCCACTTAATCCTGAAACACCCTGTATATTGTTGTGATGTCACATGGTGATCTAGTATATTTTCATATCTTTTTGCTTGACAAGTATATCTCTTTGTATTATCTTTCTTAGGGTTAATAAAAGTTAATTGTTTTAACTTGTTCCAAAAGCAAATGGTCTTTTTTTATTCTCCAACCTCAAACCCATATCTTGTAAGTTTTTTGTGTGGGGCCCTATGAGGCCCGTCTCATATTAGTTGGAGCCACAATATATATATATATATATATATATATATATATATATATATATATAATAATTGGTAATTGGTTGACTGTCGTGGATAATGAAGAGAAGAATAGTTGGGGTGCTCAGTCATATATATATGATCATATATATATATATATATATATATATATGATGACTGTATATACATATATATATATATATATATGATGACTGTATATACATATATATATATATATATATGATGACTGTATCATATATATATATATATATATATATATATATATTTGTAAATATAGAAATAGAAATAGAACTTTATTCTGGAAATAACAGGTCTCCTGAGAATAACAGAAGGTTGCAGAACAAAATAAATACTTCTGGCCAGAACAGCTACATTAAATAAAAAGAGTTACATTAAAAAAATAAAAAAACCTAACGTTAACTAACAAAATATGCAAAACCAAACTAAAGAAACTATATACAAAATACTTAGAACTATATATAATACATACAAGAAATAAAATAAAATAATCACTGTTCACCTAAAAAAATTGATTAAAAATAATTAACAAAATAGAAAGAAAAGCAATAAATAAAAAAATTGATTCCTATAATAGATGAGCACATAGTAAATATAAAAAAAGTAAAATATAAAGAAATGAAGATTTATTATTGTATCTTAGTAAAAATTAAAACATTTACAAAAAATAAGAAGAAGAAAATAAACAAATTAAGCAATTTAATGAGCATAAAATTCTTGTAGAACAGAAACGAAATGGTATGAAAAATATATATACAAGTTTATGAGAAAAAAAAAAAAAAAAAAAAAAAATATATATATATATATATATAATATATATATATATATATATATATATATATATATATATATATATTTAAAGAAAGCATTAGTTTTTAAACAAGGCACTGAAACTTAACACAACTTGACACGTGGTTAGCCGTCTTTTGATTGTTTTGTAAATAGGAATTTGAATAAAAGAGTTTTAAAGGGGACCCTACACTGTCAATCGGAATTGCACTAATGACGTTCCGAATTGTCGTGTAAGGTAGTGAATGAAGTACTGATGGTGGTGCGCTGCGGATTTCCGAACATCCGGAAATCAAAGGTTCATTCACAAGAAGTGGAGGGGAGACCGACTAAACATATGGGCTGGGGAGACCAACCATACTGCTGGATAGGTTAGGTTACAAAGGCCTCACAACCGTTATAAATTTCTGATTTTCATTATATGTAAATAGTTAAATAATTTTTCATATCCCTTGTTTATAATTTTAAACCATCTTCAACTATTTCTTTTAAATAGTCAAGTGGGCAAAAAATTAAAAAAAAAAATGAGGAAACTTCACAATTTACTTTAGGAAAAAAAAAAAAACTTTATCGTTGTGTATATTTATCAGTTCTTTTCCCATTTTCCTCAACAAATTTATTTTTTTCGCAATACCTTTCCTTAATTTTTGTAAGTAGTAGACTTATATTTTACTAACTTTTGTCAAAACGATTTTCTATGAGACTACTACTAGATAGGTTAGTTTACCTAGGTCTCGTTATTAAGTAAATAGTTGTTTATATCCCTAGTCTATATTATTATTAACCATTTTCAACTATTTTTTCTTTAAATAGTCAAGTAGACAATAAATTGAAGAGAAAAAAAAGTGGAAACTTCACAATTTACTTATAGAAAAAAAATCTTTAACTGTTGTGTTTATTTGCTATTAATTTTTCAATTTTTCTTAACAAATTTATTATTTTCGTAATACTTTTCCTAGATTTTTGTATGTAGTTGACTTATATTTTTCTAACTCTGGTTCAAACGATTTTCAGGCACTAGGAAGTAATTATTATATCTCCGTTTTTCTCTTGATGCCCAATATTATAAATAACAAGGTCCAAATAAGCATATCTATGCTGTTTCTTTGTTTACAACTGAGCTAAGTTGGTATTAGCAACGATAAGTAATGATCAGTAATGATTGAACGTGTAAGGGTCTTCATGATCAAAGCAATCGCGGGCAATCTTGGAACTTCTTGTGACATTCATTCATGAATTACCGTGTATGGTCTGCTTAAAGGCGGATAAGGAGGGACAGATGGATAAGCTTGACAGATTTTTAAAGGGAAGGAATCCAAGAAATTAGTGGACCGAACAACAAAGGAGTTTTGAAAAGAGGCAGATCTGTGAAAAGGGGAATAAAAGTCAGAAGGTCGGGATCTTATGATAAGAGAGTGAACAGAGGACTTGAATTGGAGAAAATCATAAGCATAGGAGAGGCTATGGCTGGTGATAATCTGATAAAGAAATGTGGCAAGGAAATATTATCTACGGAAGGGAAGAACCAACCTAACACTGCGTAGAGGTGGGAGACACATCTCTGTATCCCCCTGACAAATCTGAATATACATATATATATTTTATTTAATTAGATCAAGTAACAGTAATTCCTAAGTCTTATAATTTTAAATCCATTATAATATATATCTATGACACCTGTGTTAAGTGCAAAAATAATACTTACGGAAAAACGCAATTGAAAGATTGGTATTTTTATAGATGCAACTTAAATTTTTTTGAGATTCAACCCATGATTTACACAGGAATGTTCATCTCTGTAAAAGCTGCATATCTACGCATATTAGATACAAAGAGAGAGGAAAATTAGCTTTCTAGTGAAATCCATAAAAAGCCACAAAATTGCAGATAACACACTTTTCACAGGTGCCACAGATGTAAAGATTCATCAAAGTTAACATGACTTCACTGTATGAAACTCAAAATTTAATGATAAACAATGTTGTTTAGGTTATTCATATTTTTTTTGAGATTTTTTATAATTATTTAAATTAAATTTAAAATTTAAGTTAAATTAGTAATTAAATTTAATTTAGTAACTTACATAGCTGAATTAAATATGTTGTAGTTTCTGATTCAATTACAGTATGACCAATCAGTTTTAAATCATCATTTCGGTCAAGCTTGATTGTAAATTTTTCTTTTTCATCTGAAATGGGTATGAAATGCAAACAACTACTACCCTGAAATCATGAACAGACAAAGCATTACCTTCAATCCCATCTTTATGATAAGTTAATTAAGAAACAATTACAGTTAAATCTCAACAACTTATATTCTTTCATACATAAAAGTAATAAATGATTTCTCATCTCCTTAAAATTTGAGCAATTAAGAACTCACTGAATCAACTAAATTAAAAATTTCAAAATTAAGGATATAAAAATATATATAACTGCATTACCTGAGCACCTATCACATGCATTGCAACAAAGGGGCTGCCATGGATGTTGACAAGTTTTACATCCTCAATATTTTCTGTTGTTAAAATAAAATCTTTTCCTTCAGGATCCTTTCGTGCTTCTCGGTCAACATTTAAAGGACATACATTTCCATTCATATACACTATGTGTGGAGGTACATCTTTAGATGATACAACGCTATGTATCAGCCAAGTGAACTAAACATAATAACAAATTAAAAACTTTTTTTTTTCTAATATATCTACACGGCTATAAGCATGTCAAATAAATTTACTATGAGTTTGATAAAATGTTCATGTAATTTGCTAACAAAAATTGAATACTATGTGCTAATTTTATCTTAATTATAATTAGTGAGATAATTTTGAATTAAATAATTAGTCCATTCTGATCATTTTGTCCAGTCTGTACACTTAACAAATGTGAGGTACAACTAAGAGAGAACTAACTCACAAGTATCACCCCAACATGATGGATGAATAGATCACACCGTTGGTGGAATTCTGGAGTAAGCCGAGTGAGGCTATCTTTTGATAGGTTAATTCAGATCACATTTCCAACACAAAAAAATAAACAAATTAGACAAAATAATTGATCTGGAGACAAAAAAAATTTGATTGTTTATATGATCAAATGATAAAAAACTTGGGTATATGCATAAAGATATAAACAAAGCATCCGATATAAATCTTTTAGGAATAAGATACAACTAGACACCATTTAATAAAATATAATTTGAAATATTTAGGGCATTATTAAAAAATTAATCTTCAGCAATTTTTTTTTCTTTCATAAAAACTAATCATATTAACAAGTGGACAGAGATAAGATACAATGTTAATATTTTTAGTAACAATTACTTAAAAAGATAAACACGTTTGTAAACTTCTATATTTCTACTGGTCAACAAAAAGAAATGGAATTTACATATATTGTTTATTTTTTTTTCTTTTGTGATCTTGTTCATTTAATTTATTTATTTTTGTTGGTGCATTATTAAGTTAGTATTTTCTTTTCTAACATTTAATTTGTTCACTAAATTTAATCACTATTATTTTTAATGAATTCCAAGTTTACTGAGATTGTAATATGTATTATGTTTAATTTAAAAAAGTCCAGTCAATCATGATAGTAATAAGTTAGAAAACTAAAATGCTATTAAAAATATAGCGTAATCTGTAAAAAAAACAGACACTTGGTTAGCTGTGGCATTCCATGAACAATGCAATCTATAGCCCATTGATAATGTTGTAGTGACACTTGTGAAGTAGTAAATAAACATGAATAATTAGTTTAAAAGAACAAAAATAATGGTAATAGAATATCAAAGTTAGGTTTCACAATTTCGTGTTCAATTTCCTCAATAATAGGCTCGTTGTAGCTGTTCTGTTCTTTTTTAGTGAGAATATAAATTGAGAATAGAATTGATGTAAGTTTTAAATACCTTTAGCAATAAATTAAAAAATTTGTATGGTAAAAATTAACGTAGTATAATCAAGGGAAAACAAGGAAGCGATTTCAGTTTATGAAGAAACTCTTGGAAAAATATTGCAAATTGGTATGCAATGTCAAAGAAATCATTGTTGATAACCACTTCTTTAGAATAGGACAGGAAAGGAACCACACAAATAAATCATTCTTAAGTTAGAATTTATAGATAATAAAACGAAGCAAAATGAGCATACCTTAAATTTCTTAAGTTTATTTAATTGTTCTAAGCTGTCCTGCCAGAAAGCTACTTCATCTCCATTAAAGATTCCTATAAATCTATTGTCAAAATGGTCATAAACTACTGGAGCTGTGAGCTTGTTTTTTGTTCCCCAAGAACTCACTTGTTTTTGATCAGATAACTAAAAAGAAAATTACACATCAAGCAAGCTGTTATTAATGGCCACAATAAATATTTTTTTAAACCAAATTTACCCTGAATCTTATCACCATATTCCTTGAAAGAGTCACAATTACACAATCACTAAGAGCATCTTCAGAAACTCCAAGAAAATTCTTATACTCTATTAATGGGCACAGAGAATATGGAGCTAAAAATTGCGTAGAATGTGACATTTTGAAAAATCGTATTAAAAGTTAATTATTACTAATAACAAAATTCGAACAAAAAACAGAACTGTAAAAAACTAAATCTACCATGTTTACATTTAAAACCTCGTGTAACTCAGGTATGAGGTTATGAGTAGGTTAAGCAAGAAGATTGCTTAACAAAGAGATATACATTTACAATGTACATCTTTTTTTTTTTTAACTAAACGAAAGTGGGCCAAATCAAATACTTTTTATAGCTCAAATACCGATCTAAGGGAATACACTATCTTGTTGAGTATAATATTTTAAACAGGGTTTAAGTGAATAAACCAATCTGATAAATCTTAAGATATTACATCGAGTAATATAAAATATCTTCACTCCAGGAACATTTTTATTTCTATTTTCATAATGCATTACTAAATGTATATATATATAGTAATGCAAAAAGAAAAATAGTACGCATCAACTTTGATCCAATTAACGCATTGTTGAGTAATCATATTGGTAATTCTTTAATACGAATTCAAAATATGGAAAATGATCATTGGGAGATTATTGGTAATGCTTTCCTGTAAAGCAAATAATGTTTACATACGACTTTTTGCACTAACAGTAGTGAAATACATGTTTAGTATGCACTCGATTTTTTTTTTTATACCGAGTCATCAAATATGCAATCTGTATATGCGGCACTTTTTCTCATTTTAGTATTTCCTGAAGAACAAAACCCATGGATATCAAACCCGTGTATCTTGAGGGATTACTGAATATCTAAAAACGCCTTCTCCTAGAGACTTTATGCTCATATGTGCTTTCTTGTAAAGCACTTAATATTTACATACGAATTTTTGCAGTAATAGTAGTGAACTACATGTTTAGTATGCACTCGATTTTTTTTTTATCCCGAATCATCAAATATGCAAGCTGTATATTTGGAACTTTTTCGCATTTAGTATTTCCTGAAGAACAAAACACATGGATATCAATCCCGTATATGTTGAGGGATTACTGAATTTCCAAAAACGCCTTCTCCTAGAGATTTTATGCTCATACGAAAAAATTTAGACCTTGTAATATAGATATTTTTTAGCAAATACAAACGGTGAGGAAACTATACCGACCTTACTTGGCAGACGTTTTTTCCTTATATTCTTAAATACTGGGTAGTCTTGGATGATGTTGGACTGTTCTTTGCACCTTACAACTCTCACACTAGCTGAGCTGGTAAATTCCCATAGATTTTGGCAAAAATAAAGAAACCATTTCCATTAGTCAGCAATTATACAATACTTGCTCTTTTAAACCTTTCTATTCTTTCATCTTCTTCCCATCCCAGATTCGTTACTGATGTTTTTCCTCTCCTCAGTCAAACTAATTTTGCTATACCAAATCCCAATGAAGTATCAAATATGTCAGTTTTCCCTTCCTATATAGAAGAAGCGGCCTTCAGTGGGTATTGTGAACAAGTGTTGACATTATAGACTGATGGCTGCTAGCAAGGATTTGAAAATGGTTCAGCTTTGTAAAATTTATTAGAAGATACGTCAGAGTTGTTTAAGCTACTGGGAGTAGTTTCCATATGTACTGCCGAGGCTATAGCAATACTCGCCTCTAAAGTATGCCATATCTGCAGAACCTTCTCGTGTGATTGTTTTCTCTGATAGCCAAAGTGGTTGCCTCTATCAAGAATGTTCACAGCTACTCTCATGCTACTTATCTGAAATATTTAATTTACTATGCCCGTTAGATAATAGGAGCATAAATGCACATATTGTTTGAATAAAAGGGTATAGTAGTAATGTATTTAACGACAAGGATTACAAACTTGCCAGAGAAGCGGGTTTTACCAGTAATCGTCGACTGTAGGCATCAGTGAGAGATACTGAGGCATACTTAAATAGAAATGGGAAAAAGAGTGGTAAAATATAACCATGTTTTACAGAAAAAAATATTAAAAACTACCTCTTAAAGTATTCTTGTTCGTGTAATTACATTTAATAGGACTTCAAGAACCACTTAAACACTATTTCATATAGGTAGTTAATTTCTTTCTTTTTTTTCTAATTAATTATCGTTATATGTATATGAAGAAAAATCTTTCGGGCTGAAGCCCTCCCCAAAATTAAATGCTGGATCCGTTAGAGACTGTAGGCATCAGTGAGAGATACTAAGGCTTATTTAAATTGTTACTGGCAACAGAAATGGAAAAAAGAGTACTCTACCAGCGTGAAAGGGCGTTATTATAAAGCTGTCAAACTTCAAATCCCATGATTCCCTTGGTTCCGATCCTATAAAGCTTCCAGAAAATTCCTAACTTCCATAACAAGCCTTCACCTCAACCACAATAGCCTGTCAACCCATCTCTTTAAAATAAACATCTTGGACCCTCCTTATTGCTCCTGCGACCATTTCTCAATAGGCGATGAAAGCCATATTCTCCTTTCCTGTCCAAATACATCAAAAGACTGTGGTTCTTTCTACCATTTTCTCATCAAAAACAATATCCCCCTCCCTACAATTCTTACTCTAACTCATAGACCAAAAATTATTTAAGCCTTATCACTTCTAATAACATGAACTGTTAAGCATATGAATTTTTTTTTTTTTTTAGCGTTTATTATTTAATCCCCACCTGTCACAATAAGCGGATGTGATCTTTATTGATAGAATTGGTATGTCAGGCATGAGGGAGGTCAGTACCTACTCCTAACTTAAAATAAAAGAGAAAGTTAATCCAGGAGATCTCTTAGCTAGTCTCCTTTTCAGCCTTCATAGGGTGTTTTCAGACATGTCTCCTAGCTATGTTTTTTGATATGAAATATGAATTGGTATATTGACAAATATGCCCATGCATAAAGCCACAAAAAAAAGCTTCAATTTAAAACAATTTTAATGACTTTTTTAAAAATCATAATTGAACTGAGAGCATTCTTAAATAAAATCATCAGAAACAGTTTGAGTGGAACCTGTAAAACAAAAATTGACTTTTTATCCACTTACTGAAAACGAGTGATGTCCTGTTTTGTAATTTACTATCCTTTAACAAGCTGTATTTGTAACATGCTATGCAAAGTATGCTATCTCTGAGTAAATTGTATTTCTTTCATGTCCAAAAAATAAATCAAATTTATAAAAATTAAAGCATAGTTTTATTTAATGTCAACCATTTATGAAATTAAATACATGACTGGCTTCTTATCAAAGGACATCAGTCGTTTTCAGTAAGTGGATAAAAAGTCAATTTTTGTTTTACAGGTTCAACTAAAACTGATTCTGATGATTTTATTAAGAATGTTCACAATTCAATTATGATTAAAAAAAAAAGTCATTAAAATTGTTTTAAATTGAAGCTTTTTTTTTTTTTTTTTTTGTGGCTTTATGCATGGGCATATCTGCCAATATACCAATTTATATTTCATACCAAAAAACATGGCCAGGAGACATATGTCAGAAAACACCCGACGAAGGCTGAAAAGTAGACTGGCTAAGGGATCTCCTGGATTAACTTTCTCTTTTATTTTAAGTTAGGAGTAGGTACTGACCTCCCTCATGCCAATTCTATCAATAAAGATCACATCAGCTTATTGTGACAGGTGTGGATTAAATAATAAATGCTAAAAAAAATTCATACCAATCAATTCATATGCTTAACAGTTCATGTTATTAGAAGTGATAAGGCTTAAATAATTTTTGGTCTATGAGTTAGAGTAAGAATTGTAGAGAGAAGGATATTGTTTTTGATGAGAAAATGGTAGAAAGAACCACAGTCAGTGGATGTATTTGGACAGGAAAGGAGAACTTGTCTTTCATCGGCTATTGAGAAATGGTCGCAGGAGCAATAAGAAGAGTCCAAGATGTTTATTTTAAAGATGGGATGACAGGCTATTGTGGTTGAGGCGAAGGCTTGTTATGGTAGTTAGGAATTTTCTGGAAGCTTTATAGGATCGGAACCAAGGGAATCGTGGGATTTGAGGTTAGACAGCTTTATAATAACGCCCTTTAACGCTGGTAGAGTACTCTTTTTCCCATTTCTGCTGCCAGTATCTATTTAAATAAGCCTTAGTATCTCTCACTGATGCCTACAGTCGACGATTACTGGTAAAACCCATTTCTCTGGCAAGCTTGTCGTTAAATACATTACCACTATACACTATTATTCAAATAATATGCTCCTATTATCTAACTGACATAGTAAATTAAATATTTCAGATATAGTAGCATGAGAGTAGCTGTGAACATTCTTGATAGAGGCAACCACTTTGGCCATCAGAGAAAACAATCACACGAGAAGGTTCTGCAGATATGGCATACTTTAGAGGCGAGTATTGCTATAGCCTCGGCAGTACATATGGAAACTATGTAATAAAAGTATGGTGATACTCTTGAGTTTCAGTTTCAAGGTTTTTATTATAATATTGATTACTAAGCTTTCTCAAAAAAAGAAACTATTAAATGTGTTGTATCCTAAAACTCACTACATGATATAGAAATATAAAGGCTACAATATATTAACTTTTTAATACACACAATACATTAATTGTATAGGCTTTAACATTCTGTTAAATCAGGAGTGGAAACCCTCCAGAGGTACACCCAGCCTCTATAAAGTGGATATCCAATAAGAGGGTAAACTGGTGATAGTGGGATAGTTTGGACAAATTATTTTCTTTAAACCATTGGACTATAAAACGCATTTCCCTATTTATTTTAAGACCATTCCTGATTTTTTTTTTAAAATTATAAATCTTATTATAAGCATGAATAATGGTCAGGATGTTTAGTCAAAAATATCTTTGAGTTTCCCGTCTCGTAACATGTGGTTTCTCATTAGGGCAATGGTTTGAAGGCTATTTAAGTTCTTGTCCTGATGACGACCCACATGTTTGGGTCAAAACATCAACAAAACCAATAAAGAATTTTTTTTTAATGCACATCTTGACCATTATTCGTCCTAATAATTTTAACAGTCCACCCCCAACTCTCAAATATATATATAATTTAAACGTGTTACTTTAAAGTCA